ACTTGCTTACTCAGTTCAAGGGTGCAGCTGTAACAATTGCTTCAGGTAGATTTCTAGATATAACTCTATTCTGTATTATTTACCTTAAGCCCCTGTTTGGTTCGGATTTTTAATAGATTTCGATAAAAGTTGTGAGTTGTGTGGTGTAAAATGAGATGGGAAAAAATGAATTTTAAGAAATGGGGGTCAAACACGGGCTAAATTAAAGAGCTTTTGTGGAGTCATTACTGTGGAATTGGAGTCACGTCAAAGTTTTGATCCTTTTGGATCCCAGTCTACGCATCAATCACCTCAAGTAATACAAGAAAAGACAAACAAATAATAGGGTGTAATTTCCCTCTCTAAATACTTATAAGTGGTGGGTCCAGCTTAATAAATGTTCTAATTTTATTCTGATATCCTGCTTGTTTTGTTCAATAGTTACTTTTCTCTATTGATATTTTCCCAATTTCATGAAGTTTAGTACAATGATTTATGTCTGACAGATGAGAAGATTGCTTTGCTGGGTGCAATTCAGTCTCTCTTTGAAGGTTCAATGTACACATTTGTATTTCTCTGGACACCCGCACTGAGTCCAAATGATGAAGAGATTCCTCATGGCTTTATTTTTGCAACTTTCATGTTGGCTTCGATGTTGGGAAGCTCTATTGCATCTCGTCTATTGGCCCGCAACTCAACTAGAGTAGAGAGCTACATGCAAATTATTTTCGTTATTTCTTCTGCCTCCCTTCTGCTTCCCATATTGACAAATGTATGTCCATAAATCCACATTTTTGTTTTGTTTGACCACCCTCTCAAGGTGGATTATGTCTAAGTGCTTATTACTTGTGGCAGTTCTTGGTAACTCCTTCAAAGGTGAAAGGGGGCGGCATCACTTTTGCAGGTTGTCTCCAAGTTCTTGGCTTCTGTACTTTTGAGGCTTGTGTAGGGATTTTCTGGCCATCCATTATGAAGATGAGATCCCAATACATCCCTGAAGAGGCTCGAAGTACCATCATGAACTTCTTCCGCATCCCCTTGAACATCTTTGTTTGCATCGTTCTATATAACGTACGTTACTGGATCTCTTAATGTCTATGGCTTCCTGTATATATATATTTTATCTTGTGTTTGCATGAATAGCTCTAGAGGCTTCAATTCATAGCAGTAAGAACTTCTTGTGTACGCTTTTATTTTTTACTTTGAGTCCATTACCTTGGACAAATCACTTAAAAACAGAATCTCCAGGATCTGCCTTATCTGATCCATAATGTGATTAAATTTATTGCATTATGCATGTGCAATTAGCCAGTTAATTATTTTAATTGTTAACCTTTTCGCATTATGTTTGAAGGTCAATGCATTCCCCATCACGTTCATGTTTGGAATGTGCTCGATTTTCCTCTTTGTTGCATCCATTTTGCAGAGACGGCTTGCAGCAATTGGAGATAAGCCAAGTGAGTTTTTTTTTTTTTTTTTAGATGGACTTTATACTATAATGCAGCACCAATTATTTATTTCATTGCACTGTTCAAAACTGTCGATAACCAACTTCTATTTTCTTATTTTTGTTTTTATTCTTATATTTATTTTATTTTTGTGACAGAGACAGAAGATTGGGCCATGCTGAAGGAAAGAGATGCCGAGGATGAGCCATTGAATGCTCCTTGATCCCAACAGTTTGGACTACAAAAACAATTTTGGAGGTCTTTAAATGACCACCTTTTTTATAGCTATAATCTTCCATCCCGATTTCATATCAGGTAAATTCAATTCGATAGTGACCATTCAAAAAAAATTGCAAAAATTTGGTTGGCGACGGAGCAATGAAGAAAATAGGGTCGAAAGAATGCTGCTAGAGTTGTTTTTTGTCTGTGATTTTGTTAGATGGAAATATATTACCATCTCATATGCAGGCCTTTGCTCTTAGAATTATCTGTTTTTGTAATTTTAGTATTACTCTTTTGCCATAATAGTGAAATGTCACGTATGATTCTTTCAATTTATCATCGTACATTTATCTGTTCCTACCCTTTTTTTCTTCACCTTTTAAACATGATGTTTGCATTTGAATTTCTATGCTTTTTTGTATGAAAGGATACAACATCACGAAGGATCATCTCCGTTTGTGCACACATATGATGCATGTCCGAAACTCTTTGGACACTCCAAGCAAGTCACACGTTGTATTCTATTTTTCTAATATATTTTTTAAATTTCTGATGTTGAAGGTTACTTTAGGGACATTTATTGTGTTAAAAAGTAGAAAATTAAAATTAAAATTTTAAAGAATTCAAATTGATCTGCCTTGATTAGTTCCTTTTTTTACTTTTTAATAATAAAAATTAATAATAATAACATTTGTCATTGTCAATATTTCATATGTTCGCGTCTTTACGATTTAGGCGTGTGGCCTAAGTAATGAAAAGAAAAATAGAGACAAGATAAATTTGATAAAATAGTAAACTATTGAATGGATTTAAACTACAAGAATTTTTAGTGTATTTATAGCAAATTTGATCATGAAAAAGTTGATATTCTTATGTATAATGCTAGTACTAGCCTAGAACAGATACTAGTACCAAAGAGCTTTTTGTAATAATTTCATTAATGTGAGGCTTTTGTCTTTAAGGGAAGCCTCCGTGCAAGTTTGACCCCATGCTTGTCCTCAGGGAGTGATCAACAATTAGAGGCGGATCCAGACCTTTAGTATTGTGGGGTCAAAATTTTAAAAATAATTTTTTTAATAAACAACATAATATCCATGAAAATAAGTTTATATGTATTTTGACACTTTGAAAATATCGTATAATTACATCATTATTAATATTATTAAATAAATTTTGTTACTTATATAGTTTTGTTTATCATTTCATTGGCAAATGCTGAGCTAACATTGAATACATTAAATTGAATATAGAAATTAAATGAATTGAAATAAAATTCAAATTTAGTTCAAAAAGTAAATGAAATTCAAATTTAAAACAAATATGATTCGAAAGTAATTCAAATTGCATTTAATCTGTAACGACCATGAAAAATTTACGTCATATTTAATGTAAGACTTCCGAATGAAACGATATAAATTATATTGAAAAATTTATCGTGGAAAAATAAAAATTAATTGAATTTTTTAAAACAAGAAACGAGTTAGACGTCTTGTTGAGGCGTATGTTTGATATATATTTAACTATTTTCGATATCTGTTTGGATCATTTGATATGAAAATGATGTAGTTTTCAAAACAAACTTTTACATGGCATAGACGATTTGTGGATTCAGATAGCACATGATCACAAACGAATTTTAAAAGTTAGGATATTATCGAAATTCTCAAAATACTAGTTTCAAACGTCCTACTTTAACATGTCATAAATTCTGCTATAGTTGACCACTTCGCATGCCATTAATGAGTGAAAAATTAGGTCATGAGCACTTCAAAATGGTATTAAAAATGTAATATTTTGACTTCATTTGGCATCCCGATGAGTGCATCAAAGTAGAATGTAGAAAAAAAAAAGGGGCAAAATTTTGTGGGGTCATTTGACCCCCACATGACCCCATGTGGGTCCACCTCCGTCAACAATATGTTGAGGAAACTTACGTTGTCACGTAGATTGATATTTAGTACTTATAGCATTAAAAATTATTATGCCTCATCCAACGAGACTTCAACAATCGATCACGTGGTAGTAATGTAGCAAGTAAACTTAGGTCCACACTCTCCATCACTATCTTACTTGACCTATTCGAGGCTCATATAGAATGGTAGTCGAAGTGTTGCACCACCTTTGTCGAACCATCATGTAGAGATTGTACCCTACTAGGCTAAGGCGAGGTGATACGACCTACTGGAGCAATAATCCATCATACAATATCTTCTATCACTGATTGATATGACCTATTTACAGTGGGCATTCTATCAATCAACTATTAGTCCACTGTTCAGAGATTAGACCTAAGCTATATGGTGATTGTTTTTCACAATCATTAAATGTCTTTGAACCTAGGATCGGTGAAATAATGCCTATGACGAGACGAGACATCTTGGCCAATAAGATGAAGGCACGTGTCATTTCATCAAACAGTAATCACTTCACATTTTCTTTTATAAAAACTTAAACTTAGTGCCATTTAAACGTGATATAACATTACACATTCAAAGTAATATTGCTTTCTTGTTATTTTATCTAACTCGATGCAAGTACACTCTTGTAACTCATGTTTACCATCCATTACATATCCAAATACATGTATACAAGTTGGTTGACTTGACCGTTAGCGTTCTTGCGGCCGCCTCCCCCACCTCTGAGAAGGCTAGCAAGTCACGCCCCGTATTATGTTCTTTTTAATATATTTCTAAAAATTTCTAACATTAAAGGTCACTTTATGGACATTTTTTGTGTTAGTGTTCAATATGGCATGTTTATGATTAAAAAGTAGAAAAATAAAGTTAAAAAAATTTAAAGAATTCCAATTGATGTCTTGACTAGTTCATTTTTTACATTAAAAAAACATGTCGTTGTGATTGTGTCACGTGTCCGTGTCTTTACAATGTAAACTTATGGCCTAAGTAATAAAAAGAAAAATAGAAGTTAATTCTCCAAATAGTCATCGAACTTTGTCAAAAGCTCCCAAGAGGTCATCACACTTCAAAACTTGCCAAAAGTCCCTAGAAGGTCATCGAATTTCAAAATTTCCTTAAATAGTCACTGAACTTTGCAAAAAAAAAAAAAAATCCTAAGATATGAGGCCCCAATTTGCAAAGTTGAATACCCCTATGAACTTTTTGTAAAGTACAGTGACTATTTAGATAAGTTTTGAAATTCGTTGATCTCCTAAAAACTTTTGGCAAACTTCAGTGGGTATTTAGGAAAGTTTTAAAGTTCAGTGACTGGGGAACTTTTGGCAAAGTTCAGTGATTATTTGGATAATTAACTCGAATAATAGTGACAAGTTTAATAAAATAGTACTATTAAGTGGACTTGAACTACAGGAATTTGTTAGTGTATTTACAGCAAATTGGATTATGGAAAAGCTATTCATAGGTATAATGTTAGTACTAGCTTGGAACAAATAATAGTACCGAAGAGCTATTTGTAATAATTTCATTAATGTGAGGGTTCTGTCTTCAAGGGAAGCCTTTCTGCAAGTTCGACCCCATATCTATCCTCCGAGAGTGGTCAGCAATATATTAATAAAACGTATGTTGTTAGGTAGATTGATATTTAGCACTCACAGCATTAAAAATTGTTATGCCTCATCCAATGCGACTCCAATGATCGTTCATGTCATAGCCACGTAGCAAGTAAACTTACGTTCACACTCCCTATCACTTTTCTTTCTGACCTATCCGAGGCGCATATATAATGGTACTCGAAGAGATGCACCACCTTTGCCAAACCGTCATGTAGAGACGGAACCATCCATGGTCGAGGTGAGGTGATATGTCCTATTGCAGTACTAATCCGATATCAAGAGGCTTCAAAAACACGAGGGCATCATATTGTCTCACATTTCCTAAAAGATCCTTCATACAAGATCTTTTATGAATTATTGATATGACCTTTCTATAGCAAGAATACTATTAATCAACTTATTAGTCCAGTGTACACAGGTCAGACCTAGGCTACAGAAATAATTGCTTTTTAGAATCATTAAATATCCTTGAACCTAAGACTAGTGAATTGACACCTACGACGAGCCACCTAGGTTGTTAAGAGAGACCACGTGTCATTGATTCCAACGATAATCATTTCACCTCTTCCATTATAAAAATTGATATTTAGTATCATTTGAAGGTAATATAACATTACACATTTATAGTAATAATTCTCTCGTTATTTTCTCTACTTCAATGCCCGTACACTCTTGTACCCGACGTCTTTCATCCATCCCACACCTAAATACACGTATACAAGTTGATTGACTTATCCTCGAAGTTCTTGCAGTCGCTTCTCCCATCTCTGGAGAAGGCCACTTGCTCCTAACAATTATATCCAAGTTTGCAACGACTATATGCATGGAAGTGAATGGATTCGAGATCTGTTGATCAAGTCATCAATCAGAAATCGAGGTCAACAAAAATCATGATAATATTTTTTTTATTTTAATATGTGACTGTATACAATTTGAGCAAGTTAGAGCAATGCCTTAATTGCATCCCCTAAGAAGTACAGATACTTGTAAATTTATTATGTGCCCGTATATGATATGTATCCAAGCTAGAATACTCTTCAAATGCTCCAATACGTATTGAATATATGTTTCAAAAATATTTTATATTTTTAAAATTTTCGATATGTATCAAACACATATTTTTTAATTTATTTCGATTCATTTTTTATATAGAGGACACGTGAAGAAAAGTTTTATTGGTTTTAAACTCTTTTAAAACTCATTATTATTGGTTATAAATGGACAAAAAATTACTCAATAGATAACTAGTATTGTTTCAATAACTTATTGAAAATAGCTAATATTTATCAAAAATAAGTTAAATGTTTTTAGAGCTGGACAAAACTCTCGAACCAAGCGGTTCTTTTTAAGTTAAATATCCGAATGGGTATCTGAATCGAGAATCGACGAATTTAGTTCGGTTCTTGGATCTAGATTAAGAACCGAATAAAAACTGAATCTTCCTAATTTTTTAAATGTATTTATTTTCAATAAGCCAAATTATTTTATTTTTTTAAATAAATTTACTAACTAGTTAATTTAGCTCAAATCCAAAAATATAATTTTTCTACTTTTAATTTTCAGTTCAAAGTCAACATAATCAAATTAATCTAAATTTTATCCAAATATATTACTCTACCGGAGTGCTGTTTCTACTATTCTAGATAAATCGAATTGAAACTCGACAATGCCTCTTTTAATTATTGTGAGCTCCCTATCTTTCTCTTCTTATGATTTTAACAATCAAATTTATGAAAAACTCAGGAAAAATTGATCAAAAGACACATAAGATTGGACTACATTATTTTGTAAGAGCTAAGATTAAACATATCATTAGTTGAATTAATGTAATTT